AGCTATCGATGAGGTTCCGCCAATACTGCCTCTTGGCCCGACGGACCACGCGATGAAAGTCCCTCTTGGCAATCTGGACATCTTGATTGAACCCGAGCGGGTAGCTTCTTCGGATGGTTCGAAAAGCAGCCGCGGCGTCGGCGCACTCCTCCGTCCACCAGGGAACCGGACGTCCGCCTTTCCGTGCGGGCCGTCCAGATGCTTTTGCTGCTGATGTTAGTAGACTCACAAGTGAAGACGCAAGCTCGTCCAGCTCCTCGGGGGTCGAATCTGAGAGGGGGATTTCTGTGGCGCCAAGCTCTACGATCTCGACGAATCGTTTGAGCTCGTCTTCCGTCGTCACTCGAATCTTGCCCGGCTGCGTCGGGGCCGGCCGGAGGTCAGGGAAGGTCAAGCTGAGTGTGAAGTGGTCAGAGCTAGTGGCGAGATGGTCCTCGACGGTAGCTTCGGCCAGTGGCATGTTCGTAAATGCAAGATCGATCGTGTTGCCGTGCGGGTTTGTCGGGATATCTAGAGTGTTGAGAAGGTCGAGGTCGTTCTCTGACGCCCAGCCTGCTATCTCTTGGCCACGGTTCGTAGTTTGGCCTGTCTGCCAGCTACGATGTCTAGCATTGAAATCGCCAGCTACGAGGCAGCGTTCCGGGACAGACCATCGAAGCAGCGTGTTTAAGGCGTCCCTCTCATCATTCTGGCGATAGAAGTTGACTACCGTCATGCCGTTGATCGTGAGCCAAAGGATATCGCGAGTCTGGAAGGGTCGAATCTGGTCGGCAAGAAGTCTGGGGTCTCGTCGGACATATGTCATCACTCTAGGCCGAGTGTCGTTGTTGTTCCACATGTCGACTGGCGCGAATGTGTCATATGCAGGGTGAGTCTTGGTTAGAGAGCGGGTCTCTGTATGAGCCGTCCACGGCTCTTGCAAGAGCACGATATCATATCGTTCCGAGTCGGCCAGCGCCAGAGCGCAGTCGTGGGCCGGAGGGATCTTGCCGACGTTGGCCTGGAAGATCCTGAGCGGCTTCCTGTCGTTCTTTCGTCTTTGAGAATATCTATTCCTAGTCATGAGAGCACGAACGTTCGGCTGTTCTTGTGATGTGATATCCTCGCTTGTCGCTCAGCCATGCTCTGCTGGGTTTCCTGGTGCGATTCCAGATGTGGTTCTCGATGTCGTTGTCGGTATGTCTCCGCACCTACGGTCCGGACATGTTTTCGTTGCTCTTTAGTGAGTCGGCGGAGCACGCCGTGCACTGTCTTTGGCCGAGCTGGGCACCTACGAAGGTTGGCCTGGTGGGGGCCTAAGCAGTTGATGCACTGCTCTCGTGCTATGCAATCGTCTACAAGGTGGCCAGCCTTACTACAGCGTCGACAGACTGGCTGTCTGTGACAGTTGCGGGTAAAGTGGTAGCCCCAGCACGTCTCACACTGTCTGGGTCGGTCGGTTTTGTCCATGAGTCTGGCTGCGCTGCTGCCGAAAAGCGACCAGAATCTCTTCGTGGGCTTCATAAAAGACACAAGCAGGGCCTTGGTTAAGGGATTATCCGAGAATTGTCGCGCAGGGCGTACGTCAACGGGCTTGAGCCCAGTCTGGATTTCTATCTCGTCGCTGACAACGCTGTCACTATCCACCTCATCGCCGTGGAAGTCGGTCAGTCTTGTGGGAAAGTCTGACACCACATAGGTGAACCATTCCTTGTTCGTTTCTACTGCTGTAGCTCCCAGTTCAGCGGCCCACTCAGCCTGCTTTTCTACTAGAAAGTCGCGTGTTGCAGAGTCTGCAGCCAGGACGGCCCATCCAGACCGGACCTGGAACACCTGTCGAATCTTGTCCGAGACGGCGCCGAGTTTTTCCTGGATTAGGGTCCGGATCGCATAGCTACTGTGGGCCCTGGCCGGAGCCTCGGCTTCTAGACGGATGAAGACACGGAGGTCTTGCCGGGGTGGGGCGATGGTCGACTGTTGCCCTTGGCGATGAGGTGGGTCTGTTTGTCGGCGTCCATGTTGTTGTTGTCCGTGGGTTAGACGGTCGTGGTCAGTGGGAGGCGTGGCAGCGGCCACGCTGCTGTATGCAGGCTTGGGGGTCGCGGGCCCGGAGCAGGAGAGCTCTTGTTTCCAAATGCCGAGGAAACTATCGGCGAATTGCTGAGCGAAACGTCGCTGCGGTCCGGTGGCGAATTGCTGGGCCGCTTCTTCAAACTTGGCACAGAAGGCCTGGAAAACCATCAGCTTGGTGTTGTACTCTTCCACGCGTTCTCGCGCGAGATCATTGGCTGATTCGATGATAGAGATTGGTCCTTGTTCAAAAATCGATGCGGGGCTGGCACGCTCAGCTCCTTCCGTAGCTGCAGCGGTGGTGGCGGGGTTGAGTGGTGAAGATGGTGTCTGGGCCATCCGACCAGGTCCAGGTGAAACACCAATGGTGCCGTTGACGGCTGCCGGACTGTTCTGCAAGAGGGCTGCACGGGCTCCTCGGTTCAGGTTGACGGGAGTATGGATCCCCAGATCGAAGCGATCCGGGGCGGCGGGTGGGATCGTCGTAGACGAAGCCATCACCGCGGCTTGCGACTGCGCAAAGCGCAGATTGGGATGTTTGCTGTGCACTTGTTAAGGATCTAGGTGTAGGCAGGGCCACTTTCTTAACACTTGTATGCCAAGAAAGTGTGATGACAAAGGAAGGTTGTTTTCAGTTATTTTATTTATAATTTTAAACTCTATAGGGTAGGCTGGTTTTATACTATACAGTGCACTGGTCAGCTCACTTGTCTGGTCAGCTTACTTATTAAACACATTATATACTTTAATTTAAAGTTAATTTAATCATTAAAAGTCTATTTTCTTAAAAAAGTAAAGTATCCTATAACTTAATAGCGCTGTGCTAATTTCTTATATAAAGAAAAAGTAAATTAACGTACATGATAAGTGTGCGGCGCAGCATACTGTAGCTAAAAATAACCTGCTTTATAGTATTTTAAAGCTCAAATAAAATGAATAAAAATATAAAAAAGGTTAGTTTTATAATAGTATATTTAGTTATTTCAGAAATAATTTTTTAAAAAGTTTTAACTATTTTATTTCTTATATAAAACCTTATTATATAGTATAAATCACAGTATGAATAGATTTTATAGGAAAACTATATTAAATAAAATAGTAAGAAAAGTTAGAAAATTAATAAATAAAGAAAATATAGTTAGATACTTAGTGTTAAAATCAAAGCTTTTTTAGACTTAGTTTAAATTTCTAAGAATTTTTTAAAAAAGTAGGATTTTAAAGTATAAGTACTAATAAATAAGAAACTGTACTGCATACTTATCATGTACGTTAACCTATTTACTATTATAATAATTAAAAGGAAAATAGCCTATACACTACCTGCAACTGCCATATAATTTTACTAACCTTAACCTAGAGTTCTAGCTGAATAACGCCTGGACTAAAGAACAGGCCATGAATATCAGGACGTACTGTTGCGTTACAGAACGATAACCTGTCAGACATTACGTGTATTCGGTCCATTGATCCAGATTCGTATATTCATGTTGTGTTCTGTTGAATTCTACCCCTTAGAGGTTTTACCATTTCGGTTGTAATCTTAAAGTATCCCTGCTTGCATGTGAGACCCCAGCACCTGTTCAACATAACCCTTGAAAATTAATCAGGTCGCCACGCTGATACTGTTATGTATATGGTACTGCATTCTAACGGCGTCGCCTACTGCTTTCTTTATGTAATAGCCAGTAGAAAAAGGCTCATATAAGCCATACTAATGAGGCGGAACGCTAAATGGCACGTCCCGTCTCGGGACGGAGGCCCGTTTTCGGTGGTGTGCGCAACCCTAGTTGACGTTTGGATGTTCGAAAAAGCTAATCTGGACTGACGTTTACACAATTCATCTAATTCCTGGACATGCTTCGTGGGGTATGCGAGTTTACGCCCTGTGGAGTTCCGCATGGAGCCTTTTGAAGGCATCCAGGTTCTCATTCTCGTTCCTCTTGGTCTCTTCTAGAGAGGGCCACACATAGCAGCAACGGAGCATAGTATTCTACTCACGTACAGGTATAAACTCGAACCCAATGCCCATCAATCGATGAAACACATTGAGGTGCGTGGCGCAAACGGTTATCACTCGATAGGGTGGGACGTATATCCCGTGTGCCAATACTAATTTATGTAGGGTGGCTGTTACCCATCATCAATGCGTCACCCGCCTGATTTATCATCGTCTCCGAATCCTGACGGAAACCCAAAGGATTGGCAATTGAGACCACTGTTGGCTTTTGAAATTTCCAACGACGATTGATCTTTCCACTACCAGGCTGGTGTCCGCATTATTAGGCGCAGCAAGCTGAACAACTGCCGTTGCGTCAACAAAAACAACTAGAGACGTTGTAACAAGTGCCGAGTCCTCTCTTATGCAGGCACGCTTTGCGGAACATCTCATTGCTTAGAAAGCAGCTAGATCATCACGCTGATGTTAGTTCGTGTATTTCATTTGTTATCTCCTGAGGGTCATAAGGCTACAATCCGGTCACGACGGGGGGTTATAACCAATTAAAATGCACCAAACGAAAGGTACTTCTACCGCCACCTAATCAGGCGATGATAGAAGTACCAGCAGTTCTTATTATTACAAATCGCTATATCACATACCTTACAGCCATACCTAGTCTGCTTTGCCCTACGCCTGCTGCTTGCATTACCGCTGATTTCACTTAAGGAATGCCGTTTTGGCCCTTTTGACCTTATTTGCCCTTGTCGGAAGCCTGAGCAGGCTAGGCAACTTGATGTACGACCACGATAGACATGGTTGATGTTCCTGTCTATGTGTTTTTGCCGTATTTCTTAATCATCGATGTCCTCTTCAGCCCCTGACCGATATCTCTTCCTTGCTTGACTTTCTTGATGATAAGCGTTGAATAAGGCGTTTGAAATGCACTTCCGCCAATCCTCATGTGACGTATATCTCTCCCAATATTAGGAAGAATCTGGTTAATTAATAAACCCTATGTTGTACTTATACAAATTAATTCAAGCCATTCTCTGAATAAGGCAACCCTGACTTATTACTCCGGCACCCTCTTCATGCTTTTTCTTAAAATAATACGGCAATTAAGGTACTTCCTAAACCCGCGAGGCCCCCGCACTTAGCTGTTCCTGCCCTCCAGGGGATAAATCTTCTGCTTGGCAGGCTACGTAAGCTGGTGCCTGTGGAGGCTTGTAGTGCTCTTGAACCAGCGAAGGTTGTTGTGGCGCCGCTGGTGCATATCTTCTACTCGCATCTCCCTGTAGGCAATGCCTCCAAACCAGGAATCCCAGGCCTCCGAGAAACGCGATGCCGCCAAGCGTGGCACCAACTGCAATGCCAGCGACCGCTCCGCTGGATAGCCCTGATTCGGCTTTAGACGTGGTGGGTTTTTGGCTAGGTTCTACAGTGGGCGTTATCCCGCTCGTCGTTTTTGACTCCGGCGCGTTTGATACGGTGACGTTGACCACACCGGAGCTGGCCGCCGCAAGGTCATGGTTTGGTGAACTTAAATTTGTTCCAGGTTTGTATATCGCAAAGAAGAATACGACGTCCTCGCCGTCTTTGACGTCAGTGTCGAATTGATCAGACTTGGCCTGCCAGATATAGCTGGTAGATGTTGTGTTCGCTAGTATTCTTTAGTGAGCTTCGTTATCATCCACCCTGAAGGCATGTTTCTCTCGTACCTCGGAGCTGGGAGTACCACAAGTCCCCATTCTCGGTCGCAAGAGGGTAAGCCTGGTATATATATAGGTCTGTTTGATCAAAATCCGTCACCCATTCCACATTCACGCTATCTCCTACATCAAAGGTTGGATTGTGTCGCCAACCGACCGTAGCTTGAGGTGTGATGAACTGACTGTCGCAGCGGACTTTGGCGGCAAAGCCACTCAACAATAGCGTAAGGGGTAATACCGAATACATTGTATCGAATTGATAGTCGAGATTAAGGCGAAGAGATTAGACGCTGATTCCGTAGGACATCGCCCGTTATGGCGGCGATATTCTCGAAATGACACTTTCGCCCTTGCCCTCGCCCTCGCCTGCTTTTCGGAGCGATCGCGAGAAAGAGAACAGTCAAGCCAGACAATGGAGAAGAGTAAATTACGAGCGGGTGTTGCCACCCTTGTTAAGTATCCTTTCATAATTTGCTAGAACTCTGGCCAGATTGACGGAGGCGACTCGCTACAATCACATGCCAAACGCTAGCCTAGAACACCGTTTCAAGGGAATATGATGCAACGATGAAATCATGTTCATACTTTCATGATAATGTTAAAATAGGCTTTGCAAATCCGTCTCCTAGCACTATCCCTTGGATTGCGCCAAGCCTCCAAAGCAGTTACTCGCAGGTATCTAACTAATAAGCGCTAGCTCTAGCCCTATATCTCTATGTCGTTAATGGCTACTAGTATTAACGTACTCCACAAGCATGTGTAACACATAAGTGAGTGTCACCAGCTAATCTCTATCAAAAAATCAGATTTTCAAAATTCTATTAAAATTTCAATTTAGCTTTAAAATAGCTATATCGTGGTTGATAAGCATGCGACGCAGATAAGCATGCGACGCACTTTTCCCTCTTACATTATAGATTTTATCTGATTAGATATTTGTCAACCATTAACAATGTCACAATCTTCAAATGAAGCCAGAACCCTCCTTGCCCTTCAGGCCCTTCAAAATGACCCAAAATTAAGTACCCGACGCGCTGCAAAGATATACGAGATCTCTGAGCCTAGGCTACGTCGCCGTAGAAATGGCATTCAATCGCGACGCGATTTTATCCCGAAATCGCGGAAACTATCTGATCTAGAAGAGCAGATAATAGTCCAATTCATTCTTGACCTAGATTCGCGAGGGTTTCCCTCGCGACTGCGTTTTGTGGAAGAAATGGCCAATTCTCTTCTTGCTGACCGCGACGCGTCACCTGTTGGCAAGCGCTGGGCTCACAACTTCGTCAAGCGACAACCAGAGCTAAAGACGCGTTTATTTCGGAAATATGACTATCAGAGAGCCAAATGCGAAGATCTATCTATTATTCGTGGCTGGTTTAGGCTCGTACAGAACACAATCGCGAAGTACGGTATCCGATCAGATGATATCTGGAACTTTGATGAGACTGGCTTTATGATGGGCGCTATTATGGCTGGAATGGTCGTTACAGGTTCAGAAAGGCAAGGAAGGCCAAAATCAGTACAGCCTGGAAACCGGGAATGGATTACAGTGATCCAGGCGATCAATGCGGAAGGTCAATCGATCGCGCCGTTTATCATTGGTGCAGGCCAATATCACCTTGCGAATTGGTACCGAGAATGCAACCTCCCAGGCGATTGGGTTATTGCAACGAGCCAAAATGGATGGACAAATAACCAGCTAGGTCTCCATTGGCTAAAGCACTTTGATCGGTCTACAACTAATAGATCAACTGGTCCCTATCGTCTTCTGATCCTTGATGGTCACGAAAGCCATCACTCTGCCGATTTTGAGAGATATTGCGAGGAGAACAAGATTATCACGCTTTGTATGCCTGCTCATGCGTCTCACTTACTCCAACCTCTTGACGTTGGGTGCTTTGGGCCGCTGAAAAAGGCATATGGTCGAGAAATTGAGTATCTGATCAGATGCTCTATAACTCACATTTCGAAGGCCGAGTTCTTTCCCGCCTTTTACGCCGCTTTTAAAGCTACTTTTACAAAAAGTAATATCCAGGGAGGTTTTAAAGGAGCCGGGCTTGCTCCTTTTGACCCGGAAAATGTTATCTCAAAGCTTGATGTGCAGTTACGGACTCCAACGCCTCCCGGGGAGGCTGCTGAACCTTCGACCCCATGGGTTTCAAAGACGCCAAAGACGGCAATTGAGGCCCAATCTCAGTCTGAATACCTTGAAAAACGAATTAAAAGACATAAAAGCAGCTCCCCAGAGTCAATTATTGAAGCTTTAAAGTCTAATACTAAAGCAACAAAGGCAGTTATGCATGAGGTTACCTTGTTAAGGGCTGAGGTCCGAAACCTTCGAGATGCAAATGAGATACTAAGCCGGCGCCGGAGGGCAAAAAGGACTAGATTACAGAAAGGAGGGGCCATGACTGTAGAGGATGCATCACAAGTAATTGATCAGATGGATGTTGATACACAGGTAGTGGCCGAATCATCTAGAAGTGGTGGTCGGGCCCGGTCAGAGCGACCGGCTGGTCGGCGTTGTGGTGTATGCGGCAAGGCCGGGCATAATGCAAGGACCTGTCGGGTAGTAATTGAGACATTTGAGGAAGAGTATAGTAAGTAGTTTTAATTGATTAGATAGTTTGTGGTGGATTTAAAGCAAGTTCTAGCTTAAAGGGTAAAAAAAGTGCGTCGCATGCTTATCTGCGTCGCATGCTTATCAACCACGTTAACTTTAATATTAAGTAAAAAATTAAACTATAATCTTATATCTATTCTTTAAAAGGTTGTAGCTAATGTATTAATAAAATTATAGTAAAATAGCTTATTTACACTATATACTTATGCTTTAATATATATAGTAAAATAGCCAAAATTCTACAAAGAATATTCTGAGCTTTAATTAACTATACTAAACTGAATAATATTTTTTTGTAATATTTGATTATCTTTTCAAGGTTTTTAGAGGCTATAGAGTAGGCTATTTCTAGTTACGCAGTATAGTGTGACACTCACTTGTGTTTGACACTCGCTTGTAGAGTACATTATACTTATAGGCATATAGAGATTATTAATCTGCAGTTAAGTAATTATTGTGGTGTATTTCGATAAAGGACTAATAAAAACAAGCTTTACTCTTCTTAGACCTACATATTTACATTAAATCATCGTTAAATCATCCTCACCGTCTTAGCTTAAGCTTTAATATGAGATGGGTGTTAGTGACAGATATGGGTCGACTCGTGTTTGCCCAGAAGGCTATTTTTTTAGTTTCTTTTTTTATCTTTGCCTTTTGATTTCACCTTGGGTAACCTTTGTGGCTGAGAAGCCCTTCAAGCAAAATTCAAAGTTCAGGGATATTCCGAACAAGAGTTCACATGCTTTTACACGGCCTCATTGGTTCTGGATCAACCAGCCCATAAGCCAATAAGCTTAATGTAGCCGGGACAGATTTTATTTCTCCTAACGACAGCAGTCTTAGCTCACTGGAAGTTTGTAACCTTGTTGACGATCTTCTCAGGCGGCTGGAAAGGTGGGGTCATTTTAGTTTGCCAAACCAAGTTATCTAAAGAGTGTAACTTAACTGAAAACTGCCGTAATTCAGCGGAGGATCCGGAGCGGGTCTCCGGTTAGGTAGAATGCGGCAAATGCCAGCATCTCAAGGCCAATACCAGGTCCCAGATATGCGGTACAGGCTCCAGCGCTACCAGGAGTCAGCCTTAGCAAGCAGCTGCCGACGGAAGGTGGGAGGTCCAGGAGGGGCAATTATAAAGCCTTGATAGTCAATTAGCCGCTAGAGGGTAATACGCCGCTTGTTAATTTCCTTTCTGTTGTTTACGATCCTGTCCACATAGCCTGCGAATGCTACCGCACTAAGGCGGTCATCCACCAGAGCACCGCATTGTTCCGTCATGTGGTAGACTTGTCCATAATCGCTTCAATTGGTACGGCGCGCATCGCTTCCCGCAGGCCAAATCTCTCCAATAATCCTAGGGATAACAACGATGCCATATCCTTCAACTTCTGCTTCTGCTCCTTCCCTGGTGCCCTGTACCCCCTAGCTTCTCGTCCATTATCGATTACACTAGGAAACATAGCATCCCCCCATATCAATTGGAAACATTTCATCTTTAGATTGCTATTAATGGCCGGGAGGAGATCTAAATTGGCGAGATATAGCAACGTAAGCGTGAAGAACTGGAACCTCGGCGAGCTGGCTTTGTTTCTCCTAAGATGGCCTCCAACGCGGTTCGCCAGCCACCTCCACTGGGAACCCCCAGCAGATGCAAATGACGGTATTTTCAGTGCTATCCAAGACCCGCAAGCCTTCGTAGTTGTCCTATCTCTTTGAGTGTAACAAGCCTCCAGCGGGGTCACGACAAGGGTGTAAGACCAATCAAAATGATCAGAACGAAGGGTACTTTCAAACACAGCTAATTTGGTGTGTGATAGAAGTACCAGCAGGTCTCTGTTACAAATAGCTACATCACACACTTTGCATCCGTACCTCGTCTGTCGGCCCCTGGTTTTTCGTGCATTCCCTGTTATCGGCTGCAGGGATCCTTTTTCAAGCTTCCTTTTCTTGAAGGGTCGGAGCTGTCCCTGCTTAAAGCCCTTACAAGCTAGGCAATCTGATTTAACGCCTCGCCAGATATGGTTGATATCTCTTTGCATGTGTTTTTCGTGTATTCCTGTATCGCCGATGTCCTCTTCTTTCCCTGTACGACATCTCTTCCTTGCCGAGCTTTCGTGCGCGTATATGATGAAAAGAGCGTTGCAGATGCATTCCTTCCACTTCTGAAGGGTCTTGAAGGGAGGCCACCTAGGGGATGTCGTCTTGAGCTGTAAAATGAAGCTATTCGCAAGGGCAACATCGAGAAGGAAGGACCAAAGGAGGGCTTGCTAAGGGCCGCGGCGGAAGCGATGCTCATAGCTTGTGTATGACCTCAACTGATCGCCTCGGTCAACATGATTCATTTCATCGTTATAAGAGGCAGCTACCGTAGGGATCGCGATAATTATTGAAGAATTCTTTCCAAAATAGCGCTGTATCTCTCTTTCTTTCTTGCGAGATCCTTTCGTAGCCGGCTTCTTCCTCTTTTGCTGTATGTGCTCTTCGTTAGCCCCTGTGTGCACAGTTGAGAGAAAAAGCACGTAGCTGCTATCCTGCCAACCGATTTGCATAACCTAGGAAAGACGAATTAGTAAAGAAAATACATAGAAATCCCGTCTGACGACCGTACCTTGCAGTCTTCTGTAGGGATAGCTCGTACCTCATTGTACTAAAGGGGGGGGCTTTGCCGGCTTTATCATCCTCTTTGGCATCCTTCAGCTCCTTCGTGATGCCACAGTTAGGGCGTGCTGTGCCTGTGGCACCGTAGCCGGTATCACGAAGGGCACGGAACAGATTTGGTGAGGAAAAGAGGTTATCTGTGAAGACGTGATATATCGCTTTTGGTAGCATTTTACATAGGTGAACGACGATGCTTTGTGTATTGCTGAGGGCAATATATTCCTTTGGTTTCCTCTTCTTTCCCTGTGACTGTGACTTTGACTGCGAGCTCGGCATCTTGATGATCACAGCGGTATATGGTGATGCCTTTAGGTGCCAAAGCCAGCGCAAGAAGAAGCCATTCTGCGCAATAACCCAGACTTTGAACCCTACCGGCGTTGGCTTTCCCTTGATGAGGGTTGTCTCCTTTGATCTGCCTGTGAAAGGAACCATACACTTATCTACCGTGATATTAGTCCCTGGAGTGTATAATTCAGCAGATACCTTCTGTATGTGGTTAGACTACGGTTTAGCCGCTTGGAATACCTTAGGAAGGTCCTCTTCGTTGCCAAGATCGAGTGTTATGTAGTCAAATGTGCGAAGATAGCGTGAGATTAGCTGGAACCGGTATAACGGCATGAACTTAATGATTGAGTGTAGGGGGGCCTGAACACCTAAGGAAGGGGTATTCCAATGGCTTGTAATTGTATTTTCCCTATGAATTCCTAGGTAAATCAGCACACCGAGCTATACGTAGACTTGTGAAGAGGAGAGACCCTCCTATTTAGTGATCCTCGAGTGGTCGGAAATTGGGGTATTCCAGCTGTTAATAACGCCATTTTCCAGCAGATAAAGGACCCAGCTTTCAGTGTATTGAATCCATGAGAGTATAAGTGATTTAGGTATAAAATACTGGAAAAGCTCGAGTGGTGTTGGAGGGAGGATATTGATGTGAAATCACGATATTCTATGTTGAAAGGTGTGAAGTTGTGGCCGGCTCCCTCTTCGGGCGGAAAAATGGGCACTCCGGTGGGGTTATTAGCTGTGCGTTGCGAATGTGTATGAAAGCTATGATCATCAATTTCAACGTGTATTTCATCCAAGATTTCTTGAGAATTCAATATTTTACTTGAGACTGATTTGGGTTAATTTGAGTGGTGTTTCGAGGAAAATGCGTCGTCTGACGAACTTCTCGTACCCCGCATGTACTTTTATGATGACTAACGAGAGTGGGGCGAGGTACGAAGTGGAGGCTTGTTACACTCAAAGAGATAGGGAAGGCATCGCGGGATGTGGGTGCTTGCAGCAAGCTCTAGAGGACAAGTTTCAGTTCTCATTACTTTTGCTCGAGCCTCAAGCACATAGTAACAAGATAAACGAATGATGCACATGGAGGACACTCGACGACTATTACCGTCGGGTTGACAAATATAACTAGTTTGGAGACCGAGCCTGTTCTAGGTCACAAAAAGAGAGTAACGTTTATAATAAGCGGGCAGGACAGACAAGCGGGCGGGACAAGAATCTTAATTATTAGAATAGAAATCTTAAAAACCATAATAGACTATTTAATTAATTAAAATTAATTACTATACTCCTCTCTAGAGGCCTTAATACCTTCCTAACAGGTTCTTATATTATACCTAGTCTTTCCGCATCCTTTATAATAGTAAACCCTTGGTTATACCGAACTTCCCTAACTACCTCTTCTCGATAATTTAGTCACTACCTATATATTAATATCTATCTAATTAATTAGGTCCCTCCCTTCCTCTATAATTATATCTCCTTTATCCTGTGGTTAGGTTCTTTTTACCCTCTAGTACTAGCTTAGTATCTTATTTACCTCTTTAAGGTCTTTAACCCTGGCTTTTAATAAAGCAACCTTACATATATTTATCTTTATTCGCTTCTTACGAGACTTTAAAGCTTTAAGAATCAACTCTAGAAAGCTATTTTAATATCTTTTAATTTATCTCTTAAGGTATTTAAACTAAGATCTAGCCTTAAAAACTATCTTTAAGGTCTTTAAGACCTAAGTGGTCAAGGGGCTAGCTACTTTCTTAGCAAGTAATAAAGTCTATAGCTATATATTAAGCTTTAAAACTATATATTCTAAATTCAAATGGATAAGTCTAGCTATGTTAAAACCCCCCTTAATATTGTTGTTTATATTGCACAGTAGTGCTGGGTGAATATGTATATATATATATATATTTATGAAACTTGGTTGTTCTATTATTAAGCTGAGAGTTCTTCTCGTGCTTAAATCTCTAGATGATTGTATCTAGGAGTTTGAACTTTAAATCTAGGACTTTCAGACTAACAGTCTGAACCCTGAAGAGAAGGGGGATTCCCGGATTTTCTAATAAATATTACCTTCTATTATAATTGCTTAAAAAGTAATATAAAAAGCTAGGAAAAACTTAGTCCTAGAAATATAAGTTATAGACTTTTTAATTTAACACTTAGTTTCTTAACTAGAGGCCTTTTTAAGTAGCCCAAAATATCCTATATTAAGTAACTAAAATAAATAAAATAAGTAAGATAGTATATAATATAACAGCTGCACCTAACCATTACGCCATGAGGCAAAAGATTAGCTAATAACTGCTATTATAGCAATTACAGTGGTGCATACAGCTGCTTATAGGAGCTTACGGTAAACTAAACCATAACATATAAAATATAATAAAATTATTCTCTTAATAATATTACTTAAAGTTAATAAAGTAATAACTTTTATAACTATTAAAATTAAACGTGTTACGATTCGTGCTCGTAACAGCGCTGTAAGGCTTCTATAGGTAGCTATAAGTACCACTGTAATTGCTACAATAGCAGTTATAGCCCAATCTTTTGCCCTGTGGTGTAGTGGTTAGGTGCGACCATTACAAAAAGATACTAAAGATTAATTTAATTATTTAGTTATATATTAATTAAAATACTTTAGCTACTTAAGATAGGTCTTATTATTAGTCTAGCTATTTTTAGTTATAGTAATAGCTTCATTATCTAGGAGGTTACTTCTTTTTATACTAGTTATAAAGGTAATATTAACCTATAATTATAATAAAAGGCTTAAGTGCCTAATTTTTTGTATTAATTGTTTAAATAACTGTAACTTATTCTTAATCTCTAGACTATACTAAATTTAGGTTTTTATACCTTTTTATACTTATAATAATTATATTACTTTTAATTATACTTATTATAAAGCCAGTCTTATTAAAGTTAGTTATAGATATTAACTATATTAATATTATACTTTATAGTTATATTTTATATAAGCCTAAATTAGTTATAAATAATAATTAGATCTTTATATTTAACCTTTTAATAATTATATTTTTGCTAATAATATATTTTAAGCTCTAGTTATTACCTTATAAAGTTTAAAGCCTAGTACTTATAAATAGGTAATATATTACAATTAGCACATAGTTAATTAGCTACTTCTTTAATATTATATAATTACAAGGGAAATCCTTGCAAATCTAGGTTAAGAATAGACTAAATAATAGTTTATTCCTTTAGATTAAATAGTTTGCATGATTTAGGTATAATATTGCCTTGAGATTATATACTGTTGAGGCAACGATGTAAGGCATGATGATTGACCTGGTAGATCTGTGAAGCGCGTTAGATACTTAATTTAGGGGTTTTCTAATAGGCTTCAACTGTAAGAAGAATATTATCCCCTTTATATAATTGTGGCATATTGGATTGTTGTGAATTAATTGATTAAATTGGGAGAATATTATAAAAGGGATTTTTGTGACACTAACCCTACTGTAACACTCACTATGCACGTACGTTATTAGCTTTTATAAAAAATTTAAAAAAAAAACATTTTTTACAACTACTTAAGAAAATCTTAAATATATTGTTTTTTTTTCTTACTTTTATTCTTACAAGAATAAATAAATTTTTTAAAACTTTGAGAAAATACTATTTTATAGCTTTTTTATTTATATATGTAAAATTAAATCCCTAGAGTCTTTAAAGTTACATAGCTAATTTTAAGAAATTGAAAATTATAACACTTAGCTATACAGTATAAGTGGGACACATACTTGTTTAGGATGTAAGCCTATTACATACGTTATATTACATGAAATCGTATTATTAATTTGGTAGTATTCTAACCAGGGCCCCATGTAACCTTAATCGGCTCATGGTTTCCAGCAAACCGCCACCCTCCAAACCATAGCTCAAACCGTAAGTCTGCCGGCGCTATAATAACCCGAATTTCAAACTGGCAGAGATAAAATGTATAGCCCCGTGATAAGCACGTACCTCTTTTATGCTTTCTCACTAACTGCGTCTGCTGTACCCCGTCGAGGTTGCTCTTCACTTCGCATACCTTTACTGCCCCGGCTGCCGAGCATCGTTTCAGCGTTAAATTTTCTTTTATCGCCAACTACCCGCATTGGCTATTGACGCACCTTGCTTTAAACTACGCGGGAGGAACGAGACCTCGTTCTGAGATGTGACAATCTCGGCATTCCACGACCTCGTTGTATCTCCCTCGGGGAGTCGAATCTGAAATTCCTTCACCAGCTGCGTGTTTGGATCGACGATATCGCCCTGCCAAGATTAGCAACCTTACGCCGCAGGTCCCTCCTGCATGGCTAGTTACTGCGCACCTTTTTGATAAGCCATTGGATCTGATTTATTGCCCACTTCTTGTTCCGCTCATATGGATCATCTCTGATATCTTCACCGAAATGACTAGCTGGCGAGTATACCTGCTGCACGACGACGCCGTAGCTCGCTCGAGCGATGCGTAACGTTAGCACTGGTATAGTGCCAGTCTCCCACCTCTGCTGATGGTCAAGGAGAAGTCCGCGAGCGACAGCAAGCTGCGGCTCCCTACACGGCACGACGGCGACTTCGGTAGCGTTGGGATGCGGGAGTCTTGTGAACCTCCGCTGTATTGCTTCCCTCACATAGACAGAGCTAGCTAATCCCCCGGATAGGATGATGTACTTCTGGTATGCTGACTTAGCTCATCCTGGCTGCTAGGGAGGAGTGACTCTTACCACTTGTTCCTCTGGAGCATTCTGCGTCACCCAGTCTAGCTGCTCGTCGATGCGCGTAATAATTCGTTGGACTTGGATATCGAATAGTAACTGGATCTCCTCTCTGCTTCTATATTAGCCGAATTAACCATAATGGCTACATTAATCCAGCTCGCCTTGCAAATATCATGGACCCCTTATCTACGCCCATGCCGGCATGGCTAAAGTCATGCGATACACCCTCCATCTGGACCCTAATTACGGGGGATTGCATCCATACCCTCTGGCCAAATTTATGCTTGAGGTTTAGAAAATAGGGACTTTTCGACATTCGAACGGCAAGGTCGCTTGGGAGCTGCATCTGGGTATCGGGATATGCTGCTAGTCGCTGCTGCACCAATGCCTTAAATGACAAGTCGATTAGAGAACCTCCTACTCCTAAACCATTGACCGCAGTAACCTGCGACATTTGAGGGAACTCGTCACCCATTGACGTGATTCTCATCAGGGCTAGATCTGTTGTGCCGCCACCTGCGTCCACGGTCAGAAATAGGCTGCCATTGTTAAAGTGAATCGGGGTGGTCTTGAGCGTTGCAACCGCAGCAGCCTCGGCTTCCGTCAGGTCGATTAGTGCAGAATGATTATAACCACCGGATTCAAACCCGGCGTTCCGTATGCAGCCTTTGAAAACGTTGATGATATCTAGGCTTTCCCACGTCGTTGGCACACTGAAGAGAAAAGTGACTGTCTCGTCTTTCCATGGTCGCCGTCCCATTTCTGATTCCACTGTCTCTTTCACATGCATGTATATCTTGCCAAGATAGTCGGTAACAAAGCGTTGAGCTTCGATTGTGCTCCTTGGGGCATTCACTAACCCCTGCTGCCGCACAGCGGTCAACGTCGCGTCGTCGAGGAAGATCTTGAAGCACTCGCGACGGACCTTGCCCGGCACGCCATCATCCTCTGCGCAGAGAAATCCCCATGACGAGACTGTGATTCCGTCAGGGTTGTATATGAGCATTGTTGGCACTTTGCGCTCATTTTGTCCACCGTCGCCAGGCCAGTTGCTGATTACCTGAGGAGGTGTCCGTGGAGTCATCCAAGCAACCCCTCCAGCCATCAACATCAAATCCATTATACATAGTAGCTCAGAAGGTCATAACCTACCTGTGAAGGTGGTTCCCAAGTCAACTGAGACGAGAATATCTGGTTTTACTGCCATCCCGGCTGGTGTCGGCTTGGTTGTGAGAGGCTGTAAAACCCGGCTAGCAGTTATATGCAAAAAAAGTAAATGGAAGACTCAAGAAAAAAGGATTTCACGAAAACAAAAAAAAACAAAAAAAACCAAACTTGACGGATGCAGGTAAATATTTAGTGGCCTAGCTATTAACCCCGGTAGCCCAGTACTGCATTCTTACATAGGGCTCTACAATGCTGGAGAACCTAAGTTAGGCTGCTGGTAGGTAACCTATCCACATTTATTTTATCGGTGCCATGTTGACGGAAAGTTACCTAGCACTCATCGCTTGGTGGCTTGGACTATCGGATGTGCTCAAGCCTGGCCACAACCCTCCTTGGCCTGAACTCTAAATGTCCTAAGCTCTAACCTCCGAATTTCGATGGAGGTATCAGATGTACATGCACCCTTTCTGCCCGTGCGTCAAAGTCCAGTGGCCGATGTTCTGGTGAGGGACCTAGGATGACGCCCCTGCAACCTTGGCTTATCGTGAGGCCCCCAGGTCCAATGTCCTGAGTGTGGGTTGTCATTTGCTGGTTGGGGTCTTGTCCAAAGGTATAGAAAGATGCTTCTGCCCGCCACAAAGTCCAAGTGAAGTGAAGCACATCTGAATCATATCCTGTTCGTCAACAACTGCAACCTAAAGACGAAATTCCCTGAACATACACAACCTTTGACTTCTGATTGTGATCGAGACGTGATGAGTGGTAAGGTAACCTCAGAACGAGCCATACCTGCAAGAAGGGCCTCGGTTGATCCACAGGCTCCTGGTCACGCGGGTTCATCAACTACCACGGGTCCAACAACTACAACGGACTCAATCTCTACAACAATTTCCACAATTTCAACGGACTCAATGACTACCGCGACTGCATCACAAACTTGTATACCCGGACCGGGGGCCTCTGCTGGTACCGTTGCTGGAGCCGCCGTGGGCTGCCTCGTTGGTGGTCTTATTTTGGGCGCCCTGGCTGCCTTTTTCATTCTTCGCTATCGCGGCAAAAGAAACAAACACTATCACCAACAGGGTCAGATAGTCTCCAAGGAATTGGAACACTCCCCTCCTGATCCTGATCCGCCGAGCAACGACGCCAAGCTAAACCACTTTCTCCTTGATACAATACCCAACAAGGAGCTCATGTCAGAGTTGCGGGCGCTGGGCGACCTCATTAACATGCACGTCGAGAATAACTATCAGTTTCAACCAGTGAGTATCAATTCATCAGCCATGACACAAAGCATCTTGAACCTCGGTTTTCCGCCACCGTCTGGGGATGTAGCCGCTGCTCTGTGTCTCAACCCGCGATCCCGCGTAGTTGGGCTGCGGCACGTTATCTCACACATCGCCTTTGCGAGCATCGACTTCAACGCCCCGAGTTCCCTTTCGATGCTTCCAGTGCCCATGGCCGCCTTCCTCCAGTCCATACCTTCTGTACACCCTCAATCCATCAATTCACCAGGTAAGTATATGAAAATCAGCACCAAGAAGTGCATCGGCACTGACACCACTGACACCACTTTGAATATTCAGAAACTTGTCTCGCCCTGTCCAAATGGCGGGTTCTCTCTGCGTTCCTCCTCCATCCTACACGCAGTGAGAGAACCCCCTTGTCCCCTTACGAGGAGACAGCCGTTCCCCAGGCCCAAAGACTGGCATCAGCCCTCAATACGGTCCTCTGTCACTTCGTATCATCTGAGCCGGGGAAGCGCCAGGCCCAGACCGAGCACCTAGAGAGCGTGATGATGGAATTTGCCAAGTTCGGGCACATACTTCTCTCGCAACCCAGTGATTGGCGGCTCATATACGAGGCCAGCACGGCGGGTGTGGGTCAGCGGGCAGTGACTGTGTGTGCTGGGCTTGAGAAGTTGAGCCATCGAGATGGAAGGCCGTATAGCTCTCCACAACTCGTTGAGGCGCCTCGTGTAATTCAGGTCGCATGAAATGCCGGTAGTTACTTCTTGCGAAGGTTCTAATTGCTTGGAAAAAGTTCTGTGCCGGTATGTATTTAAAATTAGTGGGTTAGTTGTCCGTTTTTTTACCCCCACCATGTGGTATGTCTTTCTTAATACTCTCGGGTTTACTATATCTGAAAGAAGATATATTGTATTTAAAATTATTATGTAATTAACCTTATAAATTTAACCTAAACTTGGTTTTTCTTCTCTTAGCTATTAAAGCTTTTAATTAAGATAGGTTTCCTTATACTACCAGCTAGCCTAAATTCATTAGCTAATAAAACCTTTAATAGTTTAACTTTTTCTATTATAATATATATATAATCCTTCTTTAAATTATTTAATAACTCTAATTATTAACTTCTTTAATTACTATTGTCTTTTAATTTTAGCTTATAAGGCCCTTTTATAATATTATAATTTCTATTATTTAATTAATATTTTCTTTTAATACCTTTATCTTATTATTATTATTATTCTTTTTTAAAGCTTTAATAGCTTATTAGTCTTAAGATAAGTAAACTTCTTAAAGTAATTAATACCTAGGCTATTACTAGCTATTTAAAATATCTTATAATTAAAAAGGGAAATTTTATTATAAATTATGCTATTAATATTATTATATTTAAAATAAACTTTTTTACTTCTTTATATAAGATTTAATAAGGTTAAAGAGGTTATTAAATAAAATAGAAAACATATAAATATATTATAAAGCCTTTAGGCTTATATAGTTATTACTGATAATAGTTTAGTATATTAAAATAGCTGCTATTATATATCTAGTCTTTACTTAAATCTTATATTATAGTAGTTTATTTTAAGAGAGAGAAACTAAAGGTATTTATATCTTTTAATCTCTTTTTATAACTAAACCTTAAGGGCTCTATTATAATATAAGATTTAATAGCTATTATAGAAGCCTTTAGTAAAGGCTTATATTATAGAAAAAATGCCGTATTCTTTATTACCTGTATTAGCTGCCTAAAGTTTATTCTTATGGCTTGCAATTCCTCCTATAGCTGAAAGAAGATGAGCCATAAACGCTACCCTAACCCCGTTGGGTACTGCTACTGCATAAGCACAGCATAAAGCTCCCTCCTTAGTTTGACGGAGGACTAGAGAGCACACCTCCACATCTCTCGGCTTGCCCCGTCGTAGTTCCAAATACCACCACTACGAATGACTAGATTGCACCAACTAAAGAGCAGTAGCGTATTTTTATCCTTCATCACTACTCCACTTCCTTGATTAACCACAAACCATCTCTCAATAGCATGAAACTGAAGCTCTGAAGCCACTGAAGTTAGTGACAATGTGCTGCCAGTCGGTCACAGAGTCTAGATTTACTAGGCCCAGTGTTACCCTCATTGAGAGTTTTCAAAGCCTCCTTTAGTGCCATGTCTTTCGCCTCAGCCTCAGTCGACAGTTGCAGCCTCCTGTAAAGTATCACCAATTCTTGAGACAGCCTACACAGCCTACACAGCCTACACAGCCACCTAGCATCCTGTTCTCACGAGGTGTATGGTGAGAGCTGACGTTGACCCTCCTTTACCGTGCCAATGACACTCATTTTGTTCTTGTCTACTCAGTCCTACGGGCTGGAAGTCGATGTCACCATCCCCCAGCTGGTTTTTTGACAGCATCCTCCCACCTACATATCTGAGACGTGTCCAAGCAATCAAACTAGGTAATTGGCGTTTATTCCTTTCTTCCTAGTGAGGGATACCAGCACCTATTCGAGACACCGGTCTGCGTAACCATCCTGATTTCCGACAATGGACCCCATCAACGCCCTGTGCGCAACGTATCGCCTTATCCTCTTCGGCATCGATGTCACCCAGGTGCCCGCCACGATCCGCCACAGCCTGGAGTTCGTACGTCTTTGCTACCAGGATTTGCAACACCTCATCGAGCTGCGGCAGGCCTACCTCTCGCTCCTCGAGAAGCGTCCAGTCGTCCTCGAGCGTATCAACTCCATCATTAGCGCAGCTACCAAAGGGCTCGTGGAAGTCTGTGCCATCGTCGAAAAGTGCCGCCCTGAGGCTCACAGAGGTCGTACAGGGTTTCGTTGTCGGTTTCAATGGATCTTTTTTGACGAGAAGGACTTTCACGCGCACGAACCGGTGATAGCTCGTCATCATGCAGCGGTATTGGCTGAGTTGAATTTCCTACGCCAGATTGTGTTGTTTACACCCATCGCGCCGGCGGAGGATGGGAAGGGAGAGACAGATGGGAAAAGGAAGGGGACGATGTTCTTTGACAATGTCGCTCTGTGGGGGGATCTGTTTGGTGGCCCATCTGGTATGACAGCCGGGGACTATTCTTAACTTGCTGCGGATCAGCTGCTGAGGTTTATAGATGCTCAACGTGCGATACTCCCTGCTCAGACGGCTTCTTCGGCAATAAACGAGTCGTCCAGGACGAACTTGGCTGCCAACAGGGTCAGCGTATCATGCGCACAGTCGACAGTTGATGGGGTTCCATCCTACCAAGGTGGACTTCGGACGCCCACTAATATACCAGCGGCCTTTCAGAGTTCAAAAGAACAAAATACCATCCCTCAATCACCAACGGGTACCGAGCCCACAACAGCAAGTCCCAAAGATGATAATGGACGTCCCATTACGGGTGCCACCACCGTGTTCGAGCCCTTTGGTACCTTGGGGCTTGCTCCCACACCTGGTGCCGGTCATGACTTTCCGCTTCCTTCACTTTCGCTGAGTAGCGCGTCAGGGCTCTCACCCGCACAGACGGATACGTGTAGGAGATTAATGGATCTACCAAAACGCCGACCCGTCCCATGTACCTCTCCTATGACATGCAATCAGGGCGACGCGGATTGGTTGTCCAGTCTCAGCCCAGTTGACGCAACTAACCGCGATACGGCATCACGGAAGATGTTCCCTGCTAGAACTCCGTCGCCTTTGGTCCCTTCACAACCGACGACCCCTTCGTCTGAGCGCCAGAGGCCAGATTGGGTGCAGTCGGTATCCTCAATGTCAACATGGAAACACGTTGCTCCTGACCTCACTTCGCAAACAGCATATACTTTTCAGCCCCAGAAGCCAAATTGGGATATGTCATTTCCCTCGGACTGTGACCCGGCGCAAATAAATGTCCCAGAGAAACACATTCTTGGCATTTCTCGATATAACATGGACGGCCCTAGCACTGGGATACCATATCACCAAATAGGAGGTAACATCGCGAACGGCCAGCTAACACAACTGCATAACACACCACGCTGTGCGACATCTCCTTCCTTACCAATGGGTTCACTATATACTCTTCAGTCCCAAGTAGTAGAATTACCACAAGCTGCTGATACCCAAGCAAGGATGAATCCTCGGGACCAACTGAAGCACCATGAGGCTGAGATGGCACCAATTGAATTAGAGGCTTTGCCTCAGGTTAAACATGCTTATGATATTTATGAATTGCCGGGGTCATAATTTATACTTATATTCAGGATTTTAATATTTATAATAAGTATATATATACTAAGCTGTAACAATTGCCTTGCATTGCGAGGAAACTTGGATCAGTATATCTACTGGAGATTTTTCCTTTCTTGTATTATTACATTAAGCTCCCACATACTTACTACGCCTTACTAAACGGGTCACGAGGCTTAAGTTCACTAAATGCTGGGGTGTTGGAAAATCCGGGAATCCCCCTTCCTTTCAGGATTCAGACTGTTAGTCTGAAAGTCCTAGATTTAAAGTTTAAAGTCCTAGATACAATTATCTAAAGATATAAACCCAAGAACAACTCTTAGCTCAATAAGAAACAATTAAGTTTCACAAAAAATATTTTCACCCAGCACTACTGCACAATATAAACAACAGGTTATGAGCCCGGGTTAGCAAACACCGGGTTTCTCTTCTGAATCAAAGAACCAAACTTTAACTTCAACTCAAGATGACGTCATGACGAGCCCCACCTTCCACCATGCGAACTCGCAACACCATCAGAGTATCGCCTGCGTCCGAATCGTCGCGACCTGGTGCTTCAGGTCAAGACCACACACCATCCTCAATGTATGACAGTACCACGGTCATCTCCGAAAAGAATACTCTTTTCCTTCCGCAAGAGCTCAATCTAGGCGGCCCCTCCAATTGGGAGCAATATTGCCCAGCTCAGAAGGCCATTCTTCGGATCAATGGTCTCGAAGATGCTGTCTTTGGTGATTACCCTCCCGAGGAACAGCAAACTATGGATCAAAAGATTAGGGCGGCAAAAGCTGCCGTCTCCATCCGAGGCAACTGCACTGGAGAAGCACTCAGTCAACTAGTCGGGATTGAGAATCCCCAAGAGATGTACAACCTTCTCCAGGCCTACTGTATTGGCACGGGCCCAGTTCTCCTGCAGACAACACTTTACCAGTTCATCCGGATCAAAACAAGCTCTTACGAGACAATTCCACAATTCAATGTCGACTTTGAACGACTCGTCAAACTTCTCCTCGAGCAGAAAGAACCAATCTCAGATACCCTCAAAAAGGTTGTTTATCTGACTGCCTGTGAGAACGAGTACCTCGACTGGACTGCCAGACAGCGCGCTCTCCTACGCTCTGAGCATCCGCCAACACTACGATCAATGCAGCAAGATCTCATTGATGAAAACAGGTCATCAGATGATGATGACAGTCATGGTACTGCCTCTGCGTACTGGGCTCACAGTAAAAAGACCGGAAGGAAGGGCCCGACCGCAAGAAAGCAAGAGGCAAGTGGCCGGAGGAGAGGCTCTTCAAAGAACCGACGAGCCGCGAACAAATCCAGCCAGGAAACCAATCATCGGATCGGCAAGCACAAAGACCATACCTGCACGAACTGCAAGAAGAGAGGACATCACGAAAATGATTGTTGGTTCGCCCATAAAGATAAGCGACCCGACTGGGCGGTCCGTCTCGCCAAGGAACTCATGGAGCATGATCTTCAACGCGACAACACCAAAAATCTCCATATCAAGGAATCAAATCACATGACAGTCGAGCGATCTTTCCTGATTCTTGAAGACAGCGTCTCAGACGAGCTACCTATGAACAGTACAGAGACGTGTAGAGTCTCCCTTGACAACATTTCTTCACCCACGGCATGGCTGTTCGACACAGGTTCGACAGTCCACATCTGCAACGACCAAAGTCTGTTCACGGAACTGCAGTCTGCAACTCGAACAATCCTCGTTACAGGCGGTGGGAAAGTGTACCCATCCGGTCGAGAGACAGTCAAGATTTGCTTCATAAACAAATGGGGTGATCTGGTCACAATTAACCTCAAAGACACGCTGTTCATCCCTGAGTTTCCGGTAAACGTCATGTCAGGGCTCAGGCTATACAAGAATGGCGGCTGGATTGCCGGGAACGACATATACGACCCAACAGGAGACGTCTTTGGTCTCCTCCGGATAGGAAGGGACGGTCTGTACGTGAACACTGAGGTCGGAAAAACTACTGTTTCAAACCAGGCCGTCTTGGAACTCCAGCCAGAACCATGCAATCACCACACTGGTTCATCAAAGCAATGCCTGGATGTCGACCTTTGGCACCGAAGACTCGGCCATGTTAACGCATACCATCCACAACCCCTCTTTCGCCACCACCCCTCTTTCACCAGGCAAAATAAAAAAAGTTCCACCAAAACTCATCAACTTCACTTACACAAAAGTCAGCCTAAATATATAGCTACTTAAAAGAAATTACCTCTATTAATTATAAAAATGATTAGATGTGACGATTCTGACCTTATAAGGCTATGCAGGGTATATAATCTATGCATACTTTGTTATAGAAATGTTATTAGTTTGATCACTAAATTCCTTACTGCTCTTTGCCTTATTTTTTAGTCTTTGTCTTTGACAATAATATGAAAATGCCTAGGTTAAGACTTTAATAGAAATATATAAAGGATGATATAGCAGAGGCCATATTGGATATTACTGATAATAGCTTTTTACCCTTTTAAGCCATTTATAGATAGGGAGTGCCCTAAAGGACTTTAATTGATAGACTTTACAGCTATAGGGTATAAAAGAGCAGATCTACCCTTATTAATGCTTATCTAAGAGCTAAGAGGATAGGCTGGCTTTCTAGATTCTCTATTAGGAGTCCTTGGGCTATGCTCTATCTTATAGTTAAATCCATACTTATGTTATAGGCCTGTTAAGATAGTAGGGCAAATATCCTAACTTAGGATATAACTAAGTAATTAAATTTATTAATTACTATATAGACTTAAAGACTAAGATAGGTAGATATTAAGAAGCTAAGAGATTTGACTCTTTTATACCTAGAGCTATTTATTGGTACTTTAATATCTAGGATAGATAGTATGGCTAGATTAAGCCTAAAAATACTATTAATATTAATAAAGGTGGTATTATAACTGGTTTTGGCAAGCAGTTACCTCTATTCTTTATTAATGCTTGAGATTTAACTGACTAATCCTCTTTATTTAGGATTAAATAGCTTGGTTATTAGAAGTATAGACCTGAAGTGTAAGGCCTTTCTTAAAGGACTATAAATTTAAAATTAGACTTTATTTATTAAAGCTATTACTATTAATAGCTGCACTTTAATTCCTGGTATAATCTTTAAGGGAAAAGAATTATAGAAATAATAGTTTCTTAAGGAGTTTAAGTAAATAGTAGATTAGTATTATATAACTTTGTCTAATAGGTAGACTAATAACTATATAGGTATTAAATAGCTTAAAATAGTTTATCTGCCCTAGATAATACCTGTTAATGAGTTAGATGCTAGACTCATTATTTTAAATAGTTATAGAAGCTATATAATAGTATATCCTTTATTTTCCCTATCTTAAGATTAGTGCTAAGTAATGGAAGGATAAATAGATAGCTATATACTTTTTAAATAATATTTATTACTACTATTTACTAATATACTGCTCTTATAGACTTTAACTACTAAATAATAGAGTATTTAATATATTAAAGGCTGTATATTGATAAGAGTTAGAAAAGTTCGCTTTATTAACTAATTCCGCTCTAATAGATAAGGTCAATTTTATTAGGGCCTATGCTAAGGCTTGCTAAGTTAGAATAATTAAAAAGAGTATATTATCTGGCTAGAGGGTTACTAGAAACTGGCCAATTTTATATATAAAAGCATTACAATACCTTAAAATCTAATAAAATAGGCCAAATAGTAGCCTAAGAGTAATTCCTAAACCTAGGCCATATCTTAGCTTAGATAATATGCCATAGATAAGCTATTAAATTTATAATCTTAGATTAAGTAAAATACCAAAGATATAGAGACAGTATAATATAATAGCCAAGGGCTTTAAAGCTTATTAGTAGATAGTAGTAGTATATATTCTAAGAATTGCCAGTTTAAAGGAAGAATTAGCTTGGCTAAAAAGAGGAAAGAAGAGGAAGACAGTACTAAATCTTAATAAATATTTTATAATTCTTAGAGAGACTTTAGTTAATAAAGAGCCTATATTAAAAGGGGTGACTTATTATATGGCTATTAGGCTGGAATTTGTCTCTTTAAGTAAGTAAGAATTAGAATCAAAGGCTGGCTCTATGTGACGGAATGGGTTTCAAACAGGTAAACTAGTCCGTACTAGGTTTAATGTTTGCAGAGTCGTAGGGCGTTATACTGAGCAGTTGCGAAGTGTCACGTCTCTTAATAGTGAATAGAGCGGGTTAGGCGTATTCAGGTAAAGAAGTCTTATTGATAGCTGGTGAGCTAAGTTCTATGAAAGTGCTAATGAATGTGATCTATATACTAGAGGTGGCCTTATGGCTCAGTAGAGAATGTAAGTGATCCAAGGGTTGGATCTACGGGGATCGGTCGTGATCCATGGTGATCCAGTCTTGGAGCGTCGTGATCCAAGTGATCCAATGGAAGAGGATCGTTACTAGGAGAAGTAATCCTACGGTGATTGGTGAAAATTGTGGGGGCCACGTGACATGGACGCGGGGGTCGTAACACTCTATTATTAAAGTTAGAGAGGAAAATATACCCCACTAACTAACCAAGCAGTCACGGCAGATAATTAAAAAAAACCAAAGTATAATAGATAAATCTACTTATGACTTATTAAATGAATGATTTTATGCATTTCTGTTAATTTAGTCAAATTCTGTGTAAGTGAAGTTGGTGAGTTTTGGTAGAGCTTTTTTTATTTTGCCTGGCAAAAGAGGGGTTATGGATGGTAAATGGTGTGTCTGTGCTTCCATAAGAGATGGGCTCGCACAGTGTCGACCCAGGACCCATTAACAAGGTGCTGTCCACGGGGTAGCATATTGCCAGATGTTTTAAGGGTCTGACGGGGAAGGTGGTTGTTTGCCCCGTGGCACTCGACTCGAAACCCTATAGTGGGTGTCGCCATTTGAATCGCAGTTTCAATCAGGCGGGGATATGTCGATACGCGAAGCTTTGGTTTTGAAGGACGCAAATGCGGTATCGCACTGAGCGTGCTAAAAGGATCAATGGGAGGTAAACGATAATGAGCAGCAGCTGTGTGTTGATTGATTGTTGTCCAAGATTGTCTCTGGTGCGGGGTCTCCATCCCGCAGAGTTACCTAAGGCATACAGCTAGATTACTAACGTAGTTGTTTCCTGAGGCCGTGAAGATCATGCCTACCCTGCGAATGCGGTTATCCTACGACGGCGTACTAATTCCCTGTTGCCGCAAAGAGGAGGCAGATTGGTCGGCTCAATTTTTAGAAAGGGAGACACATTATCGGACGAAGTCTTGGTTTGAAGGCTATGCCCTCACAATCATACCATGGCTCAAGTGCTTTTTGGCCAGATCTCAAAGCTCAGGGACCATGAATTTTGATGGGTTTATCTGGGTTATCTTCTCTCTAGGGAAAGAGAAAACCACGTCGATCTATTGTATTTTTGGTTTGATAGAAACCCTTGTTGCAGATGCGATTGACAGAGGAGCCGAACTCTATGACAATTCTTTGCATGAAAGGCGGTGTTCCTCGTGTAATAATCACTTCTTGGCTCTTATCTTCTGCCAATAATTTCGCAATTACCTTTTATACCAAATTACAGTATATATATATTTTTTGGGAATATCCTACATCCTGAGCATGCCCATTTAGGCATAACGTACATGATAAGCTTATGTCACAGACAAGCATGTGTCACAAAAATACCTCATTCTCTTCTCTTTACATTTAATCAATTGATTCTCAACCATTAAAGATGTCCCAGTCAAATGATGAAGCAAAAATTCTTCTTGCCCTGCAAGCCCTTCAAAATGATCCAAAATTAAGCATCCGAGGCGCCGCATCAATATACCAAGTCTGTCATCAGAAGCTAGGTCGCCGCCAGCGAGGCATGCAGTCTCGACGCGATTGGGTCCCTAAATCACGCAAACTATCTGATCTAGAGGAACAGATCATAGTTCAGTTCATCCTCGACCTGGATTCGCGAGGATTTCCCCCGCGACTGCGTGGTATAGAAGAAATGGCTAACCGATTGCTCGCTGACTGCGATGCGCCACCCGTTAGCAAGCGCTAGGCTTCTAACTTCATTAAGCGACACAAAGAGCTCAAGACGAGGTTTTTTCGCAGATATGACTACCAGAGGGCTAAATACAAAGACCTAACCGAGATTCGAAAGTAGTTTAAGCTCATGGAAAGCACAATCGCGAAATATGGTATCAACCTTGCTAATATCTATAACTTTGATAAGGTTGGCTTTCTAATGGGTTTGATTGCAAGCAGAATGGTCATCACAGGCTCAGAAAGGCGTGCAAGACCAAAATCAGTGCAGCCTGGAAACAGGGAATGGATTACTGTCATCAAGGCGATTAAGGCGGAAGGCTGGGCGATCGCGCCGTTCATCATAGGTGCAGGCCAATATCACCTCGCCAACTGGTACCGGGAAAGTAACTTCCCGGACGACTAGGCTATTGCAACATCTCCAAATGGCTGGACCGATAATGAGCTAGGCCTTGAGTGGCTGAAGCACTTTGACCGATGCACAAACACGCGATCAGTTAGTCGCTATCGTCTTCTGATCCTTGATGGCCACGAAAGTCACCACTCTCTCGACTTTGAGAAATATTGCCAGGCAAATAAGATTGTTACGCTCTTTATGCCGCCTCATTCATCTCATCTACTTCAGCCTCTCGATGTTGGGTGCTTTAGCCTGCTTAAGAAGGCTTACGGGCAAGAAATCGAGCATCTGATCCGATGCTCTATAACCTATGTTTCCAAGTCCGAGTTCTTTCCCGCCTTTTATGCAGCGTTTCAGGCCACTATAACAGAGAAAAATATCAAGGCAGCTTTTAGAGGGGCTGGGATTATTCCTCTTGACCTAGAACGCGTGGTATCGAAGCTTGATGTGCAGCTGCGGACTCCAACGCTGGTTGAGGAGGAAGCCGGCCCCTCTACCGCTTGGGTTTCCAAGACACCCAGGACTGTCCTTGAGGCCCAATCTCAGTCTGAATACCTCGATAGATGAATAAGAAGGCATAAAAGTAGCTCGCCAGAGTCAATTCTGGAAGCATTAAAGTCGCTTTCTAAGGGAACAAAGGCAATGATGCATAAGAACGCCTTGTTAAGAGCTCAGGTCTGTGATCTTTAACAGGCAAATGAAACACTAAGCCGGCGTCGAAGGGCAAAAAGAACCAGACTATAGAAAGGAGGGGTGATGATAGTAGGGGAAGCAAGGGAAGTAATTGATCAGATGAATATAGATGGGCAGGTCGAGGGCGAATCGTCGAGAAGTAGTGGTCAAGGAGGGTTGGCGCGACCGAGGGAAAGGCGCTGTGGAGGATGCGGCAAGACGGGGTATAACGCAAGGATATATTAAATAGTTGTTATAATATCTGAAGAAGAATATAGTAATTGATTTTAATTGATTAGAGAGTTTGTTGTGCTTTTCTGGTGATTTCTGTTTTGAAGGTTGAGATTTTTTGTGACACATGCTTGTCTGTGACATAAGCTTATCATGTACGTTATTCTAAAGCTTTCTCCACCAGTAAAACATTACGCCAAGTCAAATGCAGACGCCCAAGAGACCAGAGCTTCGCTATGATATCTCGCATCAAGCTATCAATATATGAAAAAAAGAAATTCCTGCATGTTTCCAACCAACACCCGTAAGAAAATAAAGGAGCCGCGATCACCCGAGCCTCAAACCTGCAGCCATCTATAAATTGTGCCCTCTGAGCCTTGGATGCTGTCAACGCCTTCTATGATTAAGCGCCGGGCAGGGCGGGGAAATAAGACATCCTAAAGTGATGATCCACGCCATCACTGTGGTGGCAGAGTACTCACTAGTCCAATAGTTGTGCATGCTCGCTCACCGGTCAAAAGTCGGTCAAGAGTATCGAGGTGGGGAACATCGAAAGGGCAGGGCACCGAACGGGTACAGACAACGAGGTTTCATTCTCAGTTGTGCAAATCAAATACCACCCGTGCGTTAGTTGCCGGCTGTCAATTATGAGAGGACCCTGACACGAGAGCGAAGAGTGGGTAGCTAAACAGCCGGAATAAGCAGCCCGTCCCGCATCACCCAACAGTGAAAGTGGGAGGATCAATAGAGATGTAGTGCTTGATCAGGCGGGCCGATCTAGACTAAATAAAACTTAATATTGCATACTCGAGGAATAGTAGACGTTGCACCCAGATAAGTCCTGATAAGTTCGGGCAGTACTCCCTGGCTAGTTGAAACCGTCGACAGTCAGAGGAGAAACCCAAGACGCCACTAAAGTAGACAAGAAGCGAAGACCCGGGTTGTCCATCCACAAAAGCTTCCATGCTGAGTGATAGGTTGAGTTCAAAGAGGAGCTCAATGAATTCTTCAGAACTCTTTGCTGCAGTTTCGTTTTCAAATTTGTGGCCTGGGTCCTGGCGGAATAGTGAAACATTAGGTGCATCCTGACTGGCTGTCTCAGACATCCAGTACCTCATTGAACGAATCCATGATTCCAAGCATTTACTTTTATGTAAAAATGTACACTTTTCCGAGGTTGCAGTATCTTCGATGCCAACATCTATCCAGGTATTCGATAGATCGGCTTTGGACCAGTCCAGAACGTGATGAAGGTGGTCAACGATCTTAGCACGACATTGCTGTAATGTTGGCGATTTTGCCTCCAGTTTGATGTTTTTCGCACTCAAGACGATGAACATTCCGCGGAACACGGCAAGGTCAGACCGCTCAGTGCGTTGTCTCATGTAATGCCATATTTGCTGTAAATACTCTTGCGGAAGGTAATGGTGCATGTCCATCTTACTATGGACCATTCCACTGCAAGCTTCCCTCTGGCGACTGTATGCCTTGCTCTCCACATCATCAAAAGAACGAGGATGGTGTTGAACCACGTCAGGCGGGCAGTAATGGCGGATGGCGGGTAGAAGGAGTTCGTTGATCCACATCCGTCTTTCATTTTTGGTCAGATATGTGGTCGTTCGACAGACGTGAGAGATCCCAGGAAAGAAGACATAAACTCCGAACTGCGGCGACTGCCGTCCGCTGCCCAGTCGGAGGTGATGGATAATATGCAAGGGCGTTCCCTGATGGAAAACATGCATGTTGCTTGCCAAATTCCTGGTAGGCGGTGAATGATACGATATGTATAACCCACGATTGACGGACAAGCAGGTAGCCCAGGAAATGATACTATCCACATCCCAAGTGCGCTGGACGTCAGGGGAGCTTCTCTGCGACATTTGAATATCTAATTTTGGACGATTGTCTCCACCGCTCAAGATCGAAGACCAGTCTAGCTGAGCATCATCGCTTTCACCTACTTCAGCATGAGGTGAGGCACGACCGAATGAGTCTGGTACTGCAAGGCCCCGCCAGTAGTCGACCATATCCAGTCGGCCATATACTTGCGGCTCGTTGTTGTTGGTGTGTTCTATTCCGTTTTCTTCTGCCTCCTCCTCGCAGTCACAAGTGTATGCCCAGTTTCTTTCCAAAAAACACTTGGCTGAGTGGGCATCTGATTCCACCAAGACGCTGATGCGTTCGTCTTCATCGTCGATCTCCACCTCGCTTCGCATATCTGAGACGTCCGACTCAGAACTGGAATCAGGTTCCCAGGCATGCTCAGGCTGAGATTCGAGATCAGACGTTGCTTCTTCTGCAGCTTCTTCTTCGTGTTGTCTTGTGTTCCCATCATTTCGTGGCCTACCCATGTCGTCTTCAAATACCATGTATGGACTTGTCGTAACGCCTCCTTTCTCGTATAATGATTCTGCTGTGTATTCAACCTCACGAGGACTTGATACATTGCTGATATGGCATAGCTCGCAGTCTGATTCTACACATATGACACCCTCTTCTGCAGCGTGACTCGTACGATCACTCGGGATCCCGTCAGGGCTTGAGGGCAACAGAATCTCCGCTGGGCCTTCTTGCGAAGTTGAGAACGATGCTGTTACCGTATGCGGTCCCGACGTGTTACCAAGATGCTGTAAGTACGGTGACGCCAGGCCGTTCCCCTCTATCGATTGCGGAGGCTGTTCACCTCTGGTCACGACCGCGTCAGTTGACGAGATGGATGACTCGACGCGATTCAACGAACTATCTGCCTCTGAAGGGCCAACTAAAGGGCTCGCTTCATATGACTCGATACCTTGTGAGGGTGTAGTCGGCAAAGCTTCTGTCTGTGCAGAAACATAGATTTGGAATCTGATGTTGCCGTGCGCTGCTTGCTTCCGAAGCCGTCTTCGAGCGCGCTTGGCGACGACGTCTTGCTTAGCCTTGTCCTTCGGCGTGTCATATTTTCGAGGCCGCCCACGTTTCTTAGGTGTTCTCGGCATTGTGGATAGACTAGATCGTGACGGGTAGGATATGCTTTTGTATGGATGGGTATGAGATTCCCCTGAACTGACCGTTAAATCCTGATTAGGTTAGTAAACTGACCGCGAAAATCGAAAGGCGTTAGCGAGTGACCGCTAAATTCTGGTTGGACAGAGGAAAATGCACTAAGAGCCAAATTAGCTAGCCTGCTGACCGCGAAATTCGAAATGCCAATTTTAGCTAACCCGATGGCTTTGACTAGCGCCTCCAACACGGGGTATAGAATGCCAAGAACCATCAGGCTGAAATGACGTTCCCTGCCGGACTCGAATGTCAGAGGGTCAATTGGTCAATGATCAACGCTCCGGCCTCCCTCAAACGGACGGCAGTTGATGTACTGCCCTGCAAACTTGCAGCTAGCCACCTCAGCTCGACAAAGGCAATGTGCAATACAGCTAGCAAAGTACATGACTGCTTTGGCGTCGTCGCAGGTTTGCGTCTTAGGGAGCAATGATTTAATGACATTTGTCCAATATGAGTTGAGAAAATGCCGCATCTTGCCGGTTTTACCCACCTTCTCTGCCACCGTCCACAGCAACTCATCGGTATTTATTGTCTAGGGCGAGAGAGGAATCTCGGTTACAGCCAACACATATAATGCAGCAGGAGGTTTTCTTCTTTGAGGGCGAATCGGTAATACGGATCATTTGGTCAGGACTAAGTGATCTCCGCGCAGGGGGCCGGTCTGCCTAACGACGACTTGATGCTGACATGGTGTGCTCAGTAGGCGTGCCACCTTACAACTGAGGAACATACGACAGCCAACAATTGCCCATTCGTTCCCATCGTTTCGAATTGCTGGCTTGCATTGTTAGTTTTGTCACAAGTGTCACTATACGCCCAGGGCCACTGGGCCAGGGGCCCTGTGCATCAGCTACGTGGTCAGCTGCCCGCCATTAAACCCCTGTGTACGGACCATCATGTGTCGAAGTCTGCCTTGCTTACCCCACCAAAAGGGCTGTTGTGGCTACAGCCGGTCAAGCAAGCCGTTTTAAGCCTTCGACAGGGTTTGCATCAAACCGAAAACGGCAATGGACCGAGGTTGTTTTCTCTTTCCCCCAAGAGCTTCAGGAATTGTCCAAACCGGCCGTTCATGCAAAGAGTTTTGTGCCAGCTAGCTCCATCGCGCTATAGTGGTCTCTGGTATCTCTCAGCAGTTTCCCTTTCAGCTGATGTTGATACCGAAAGTGGGATTCAATGCCGGCGCCGGGTCGAATAGCTGCCTTACAAAGCCGCCAGAGCAGCATCTGGTATTGCTCGTTCAATTAGATATCACCCTCCATATTATTACTGATTGATTTTGTGTCATCTGGTTATTCTCTGTGGCTAGATAGAATAAAGCAGTAGATGTTGTTCTGTTTATATTCCTACTCAATGTTGACCCCGAAACCCTATTGTGGTGGAGGATTTGACTTAAATCGCCTGCGAATAATACCTAGGCCCGAATATCGGCGTGCCTGTTGGTGTTGAAGTAAGGAGAATCCTCCCCATCCTCGTCCTCGTAGGCATCCTCACCCATCTCGGCATCTGAACTTAGCAGATCCACAATCTCCTGGTCGTTACTTCCAGAGCACTTGGGATCCATGACCTCACGGTAACCGCTGTAGTATCTCCGCAAGATACGTAGGATCTCCGGTCCATGAATCATGAATTTGTCAAGCTGGATGCCTGGAATCTTAGACATCTTGTTAAGAGAAGTTGTCCACCGTATGGCCATCACATGGAGCTCCTTCTCAGTGAACAGTGGTGATCTGAGCCCTTTCCGCTTTCGGATTTTCTCCTCTGCTACCTTTGCTTCCTGGACGAAACCGTCGACAATATCCCGGTGTATTTCGCTCAAGTCCTCCAACTCGGCACTGATGGATATTGGAAGCCCAGGCGATCGCGAGGGCGGCTTCAGTGGTTGGTGGTCAGGCAGCTCTTCAAAGGCCTCTTCACCCTCGTTATCGTTTACCATGAACCCATCATTCGCATAGCCGTTCAAAGTCATGGCGCCATTTTCATCGTCGCTTTTCACAGGACGAGATTTCTTTCTCCGTCGTCCAACAGGTAAAGACACGTATGGCGACGGCATGGCGGTCACATCCTGACCCTTCGGCTTCTTGCTGGCTTGCTTCGATCGGGGCTTGGAAGGCTTGTTAGTCGTGCCCTCTTCCGGTACTTGAATCGATAACATGAGCTTCCGTTGCCCTGAGAGAAACAGGTGGTATGTCGATCCGAGTTTCAAATACTGGATTGCCATGCCATGATTTCCGATTTGGTTGTTCTCGTGAAAGGGGCAGGATCCCGTTTTACCAACAACTCTTTGCCCTCGTTGCGAAATACTGAAGCGGGATTCGCTCTCACAAAAATTGTCGATGGGTTGACGGAAACTCCCCCACCGGACGACTTTCAAACTCAGGAAAGGTTTCAAGCTAGTACCATATTTCAACTAGCAGTAGCGCACAGGACCTGGATAATCTTCTCATGGCGATGTAATGTTGCTAGCTGTAGGGCTGTTGCGCGCCCTCCTCTTTGTGCACCAGCATCGGCGCCTTCATCGAGAAGAAGTTGGACAATACGTGTATGCCCTCCCGATGATGCTAGGCAAAGGACCCCGTTTAATGTCGATTGAATTGTGCATTCTGACTCTATGTCATGGGAAGTACACTGCCACTTGTGAGCAATGATGGCCTTCCTGACCGTGTTTAACCTTCCTTTCTTTACAGCCCAGAGTAGGGCAGCTGGGCTGTCGCTTTTCGCATCGTGGGAGTATAAGATATCTTCAATGATAGGGTAGATTTGCTTGCTAGTGCGGAGCAAAGTGGCAAGTTCTTTTGGCTCGAGGAAAGTAGCCATTATAAAATAAAGTTCTGACGGTAAGGCAAGAAGTGCCATCTAAGGTTCTAGTAGTTGCTTCTAGGTATATTTAAGACGATTAAGGTCATTGGAATAGGATTTGTATTCGAATATGACACGAGTCTTAAGAACAATTGGCTTAGGGAGGGACAATTATCCAAGTATGATGAAAATAACATAAAGAGGAAATAAGAGATAGAGACGGAATTTATGCGCGTTAACTACTAGCCTGGTGGGCGAGAGGTCGTCTCGGCCTGATAGACTTCACTGGACGAATACACAGAGTACGAAATAGGACCCTTGTTGCGCCCAGAGACGGACCTTGTAAGCCACATACCTTCATGTGAGGACTTTAAAACTGTAATTTGTGTGTTAGGGCCGTATATTCTAACTTATCAGATTGCCACGCAAAGATATCCATATTAGATACATCAGTCGCATACTAATTTGTACTACATACCTTATTAGGTCATCTACAGTAATCCAGCTAGGGTTTATAATAAGTTAAGGCAGATGGGAAGAATATCTAATAACACCTTTTCCTAGAAAAGGTGAACAGCTCTCGTGGCAAAAAAAAAAAAAAAAAACAAAAAAAAAAAAAAAAGGCGACTATTTGTAAGTATGTACAGTACAATACCAGAACGAGTATTTCTCTTGTCCGTCCAGTTTACCCTACAGCCTCAGAAGTAATGCAACAGCAGGAATAGGCCGGGTTTAAGCTCCGGGAAGAATAATACTTATAACAAGCCAGACATAAAGTGTGTTTCTGGCAAAGCCTCCAGATAATATCAGCGCCTTCGAGGATCTTTGCCTTACAGGAGGAGCATCGTTGCGCTAAGGACGGTAATGCCCTTGTGTATTCAGGTACCGCTGCACATTGAAACGATATCCCTTGAACTGAGACTTCGTTTTTTCTCTTGCGCAGCCACAATTATAGAGGTTAATTCATCATACTCTTACCTGCAGTCTTCCCTGAACCGTAGAAATGCCTCCATGCGATATTGCTACGACGAGTCAATCAAAGCCCATGCGAAACACACTTTGGGTAAAGTGTTGTAAATCTCTTCCATAATGTCATTGTAGTGTTCTAAGTCTCTTTTGACGTAAGAATCGTGCAACACAGCCCTGGTTCTCCACCTGTGATGGAGGGCATATAGGTTACATGTCCACTCCAACAAAGACCAGTCATTTTAATGCCCACTCATGGCACTGCAGTGCTGCATGGCATGTATTAGCCTGCTTTGCTTCCAGAATGCCGACGGAGAGTAAGCAGCAGACTATATATCCTTGAAACAGTGCGCTGACCTAAAAGAATCCAAAACTGTACTTCCCTTTAGAAGAGCAGAATAGACGGTACATATGTATTCTTATTCCAGAGCCCTCCATGCATGGTTTACTGAGTTTAAGGGACTTGGGGGTGTGTGTACCAAGTTTTTGTTGAGGTCTTCAATAAGCATGCTGGGGCGGATATGGTGTCGCAATCTAGATTCCGCTGGAATCCTGAGCCGTCACTTGCTATATGGAGAGAATCATGAGTCTAGCAGTTGTGTACTGTACAGTATCGCAGAAACAAGTTAATGTTCTACTCTTAGTTGTCAAGGTGTTATGCCAAGGGCGATAGAAACGCCATCTTGTCCGCTACGTGATGATAGAAGGGGACAAGCTACCTACCAGATACAATTGCCGTTGTTGCTCTAAATCGTTCTTGACCTTAAAGAGGCCTTTATTGTCGCTATTTGCCTTTGCATGAGCTTTTAAATCAGGCTACTTTCAAGGTGATTACTGAATATCCATGTATAGTAGGTAAAATTAGGCCGAATAAGTCAACAGTCCAGGTAGATGTGCAGTGGCACGACATATGGTAGAACTGGCAGTCGGACCCTCTCATGAAGAGGCACTTGAGCAAGAGTCTAAATAACAGCCATTTTGTAAGCCTACCTGTATCGGCCGTCCATTCTCCGTCGATGGAATAGAATACCAAGATGTACAAGAAGTAGGCGTGAAAAAACGAGAAACCCCATACATTCCACGAGCGGTAGACCTAAAAGTGGACCGGGTCAGTATATGTGAGTAAACGACACCCAGGATCCTAGATTCATTGTATTCGATAGGAACCAAGCTGGCAGACTGGATCGCAAGACGGTATCTCACCAAAGACAATTATACAACGCAATTTGGGCTACGGGGAAAACCCTCTGTACCTCACCACCTCATCAGGGGAAGAAGAGTAGTGTACACGGCCTTGAGTAAGATAGACCTGTCAAGTATGATATCACTATTGGAATACCAATTCTTCCTATGCCTTAACCACTCTACCGCCCGTTGCAATCACTTGACTCTAGTGCTATTCACTCTTGATCAGGGGGCTAGCTACACTTGCATTGGGCTAGGCTTAGTCTTCCCCTGAATCAGGCTCTTGTCCTGATATCTGTCGAATACTCGGAAGTTCCTCTCTCTTTTGGCGCCTAGTGGATATCGGTTTGAGTTTTAGATGCAAGCTTAGCAGATATAGCCTATAAAATTTGGAGCGAGTTGTTCTCCCTGATAGGTATTGGTCATAATGTCGAGAACATGCGACTTTCGTTCTACCAGGAAGCTGAGACGAGATATCTTCCCAGCTCTTGCCTTTTTTTCGAAGCTTAATAATTCGTCTATCCTCCTCCTTATTCCATTTACCTCTCTTTTTCTCTCCACGATTTGCCATATTGATCTACAGTACGTAAGGGTGATTGGTATACAACCACTGTAGTAGCCAGTGCAGCCTGTCGATATATATAGGCTACTTAGACCATGTAGATAACGGACGTTTCACGAAACATGCACCTATCCTGGACATTGGTTGTTTACGAATTAGCCAGAAGTGAAAGTGGTGCTGATTCGGATGAGCAAGTACTGGACCTGGTCGTCTCATTTGTGCTGTTAATTAAAGGCCGTCCACAAAGAGTCGATACTGGATTCTATATCCGTGTAAATGATGGAATCCAGGCAGAAACCTCCTAGTCACAACTTCTCTTTACCAGATGGCCAGGTATACATCTAACAAGTTTCATCAGTCTCGAGAGGAGAGTCTCACTCCATGTAGAAATAGGGTTGGTGATTATTCCGAAATTGGTACATACAGACAATATGAACGTCGATTAGTTCTAAATCGTGACTTTACTTAGCGTAGAATAACGGTGTGAGAGCATTTACGGCTGTTTAGTAAAGTCCAAGAGAGACCATGTACCCCAGCCCTACATGTTGTAACGTAATCATATTCTCTCTTTATTCTTATTATCCTAAAGTATAGTGGAGTAAAGGATTTAAGTCAAATTCTGAAAAGGAGTCCTCTGTAATCTATGTTTAATTGATTCAAGCTATTCGACGGAAGTGACGCCGTGTATGTAGATTTTCAATGCCAATCACAGAAGATTCTTCATCCTGTCGGACTGGTCCGTCAGGAATATCAGTGATCCGCTCGACATCAAATTTTAGGTCTTTGTGGAGATACTGTTTACTCCCATCTTGAGACACCGAGTATTTGACATAGAATGCCAATGAGCCAATACGGATACATGACACATGATCCGAGGGAACGCAACAAGCGATTGGTTTACCGCGTTTGATCTCTCGTTTGTTATTAGGTATCGCTCTCTTGACTCAACCAACGGACGGCAATATTTGGCTTTGATCGCTAGTTGCCATTGGCTGACGTTGGAGTTGCCCGAAACTGTATGGCAAAGACTTTGTTTGCTCTGTTTACGACCTACGTAAGCCGTCTTACTTTCATATCTCCCGAGTACCTATTGGCAATATCCTACTGTCGACACTAATGGTCCTATTATTTTTTTGAGTCACCATAAGCGACCAAGGGCCTACATAATCCGGTTGTTTCGTGACACTATCAGTTCCGGCACTATTTCGTAGCCTTGTGCCCCCATAGCCTTTTCCGTTCCCAAGCCCACCACTGAGCCACAGCATCAGCTTGTAAAACCCATTGCGACGCTTCCTCGCCATAGAGATTCCTCACATCACCAACTAATTGTTCCATTGACCATTTCTCAACAGGCTCAAGCTCGAGCGGGTCGTTCTTCAAGTCGGTGAATCTCCACTGAGATGCACGGTCAAGAGGTATGACAAGCCTCCAGGGCGCATCTGCGGACGTTACTGAGAGCATACTCGCGCCGCTGTTGATGACGCCAAAGTTCCATGCACGACGGCCGTTCCAAGAGCTTTTATATGGCCGGATGAGCGATTGTCCTTCATAATCGTGAAGGAGGTCAGATGCTACGGCCATGTCATTACGGTTAAGCGAGCCGGTGTTAATGAGCAAGTCCAAGATCGTGGGAAGAATGGAGATTGAAGTTGCATTCGCTTCGTACTGCACGCGAGGGATATGAGGATGCCTGAACGTGATGGGCACACGAAAGTTGCTGACATGACCATTCTTGTAGGTCCCGGTCCTGGTGGTGATATCCTCTTTGAATGCCTGCCCATGGTCTCCGACAAGAACCACAAGAGTCTCGTTGGCAATGCCGTGTTGTTCGAATAAATGCAGAAGCTCACCGAGCCATGCATCTTGGAACCTCACAGTATTCAAGTAGCTGTTGAAGTCCCTATGCCATCCCATATTCCCTTGTGTATTCACATACTCGATCTTTTTGGAATCACGAGGTAGCCCCCAAGGGTGATGGGTTGTGCTAGTGAAATGGGAAAAGAACATTCTCTTCTTCTCCCGTTGCACTTTCTCAATCAGCTCTCGTACGTGTGTCTTTAAAGTTGTTTCAGTGTATCCAAAATAGTTGATTTCTTCCAAATCGGACCGTGCCTTAGCTCTTTGTTCCAAGACATCCTTAGCAACGATCTCTTCGAAACCTAGCTCATTGTTGAATATGTCCTGGCGATCATACTTGTCTGTTATAGATTGAAAGAAGGCTGTGAGCCATTTCTGCTCCAGAAAGTCGTTTGAAGCCGTCTTGTCCCCCTTTATCTGATTGAAGAGATGTAGGATTTGTGAGATGCAAGGTTGGTAACTCTGCGCTTCGGATTCTTGAAAGCTGTCGACAGGCATAGGCCAGACTCCACAGTGAGTCGCAGCCAAGCTCTTGAACGAAAGAGAAGCGGCAGCGAAACCACCTATGATATTGATGCCACCGTAACCATCCTGCGTTGTACCATTCCACTCTGGTATTGGTACTTTGGCGAGATCCGAACCATTCGTTCTCTTCCAGCAGCCAGATTTTCCAGTGATCTTCTCCGCCACTGGAGTCAGTTGGGATAAAAACGCATTGATATCATCACCGTCTTTTCGTCCCTTATGAGTGTCCAGGATGATGTTGTGAATGTCTGACCCCTGTTGCAGGGGAAAGAGCTCCTCTCTAGTGCTTTCCAACATGATCAGAGCAACGTGCTTGATCTTGACTGTCCCATTCCTAAACGCATCACTAAAGATGTCCAAAATTCCTTCATCCTGATTGGTGATCCGAAGTGGGTCGTTCACTGGATTGTAGAACATACCATCGACCTTTGTTTCGTGGCAGACACGACCAGTGCCACCACCATCCCCTCCCTCTCTATCCACTTGGTTCGAGTGATTTGACGATAGCCATTTGCAAAATCCAGCAGGAGGTGTCTCCGGTAACCAAGTCGGTAGACGGTCTCGATACATCTGGGCCAGAATGCTGTTATCACCCGGTGCCCATCCTTTGAAGTACCCTTTGGGTTTTTCCCAGTTTGTCGTATGGATGAGTTGCGGAAAGGGCCAGGGATTCCTGCTAAAAGTATAGCGATTAGCCTGGCTGTCAGTGTGCGAGTCGATCATCTGCAGCATCGTGATGGGCAAGCTCGCCGACATTTGAGAATATGGTGAGGACGGGCGGAGACTGGCCGTCAAGGCTAAGTAGAGGAATATGGCCAGGGCCAGAATCTTGGGGTATCTGCGCGAGCTCCCGGTATTGGCCTGGGGCGGTAGGTCAAGATAGACCTTCCCATGGCTGTTACCGGTTTGGGAATTGATGAAGCTCTGATAGTCATACGTGTCCTCGACACTGTGACAACCACGACGGCGTTTGCACATGTTCCAGAGCTGTGGTGCTTTCAGAACTATAAGTTAGCTATTGCGGGAGACTATGTGGAGTCATGGATACTTACCACGCAACAATGGTGCCGTAATCATGTTCAGAGACCTGCCAGCATACTGGTACAGATGCGTCTGGGAAAGCCACGATGCACCTAAAATGAGAATAACACAGACGATAGCGGAATTCGATCCACTGAGTAAAAGTTTGATGCCATCCTTATCGCGAACATATCTCTGTGCATTTGTCCACGTAACCTCGGTGCCAGTCTTGTAATAGAATGTTGCATGGAAAGCTGTTGCGACGAGCAGGATGAGCCTGGTTGTTCATAAGCATTTAACCACAGGCAATTACAGACGTTTACCACATACGAGAAAGTGCAGCCTAACAGACGACTTATGTAGGTGATGGTGGTCCTTTTCCGGGACAGGAATAGTCGTGATAGACATATAACCAATATGTCTGGAACGAGAACCGATGGCAGGAAGAGTATGAGGGCAACGTGCGGCACGGTTCCAACATATGTATATAGGTGAATCAGTTTGGACAGGCACGTGCAGACAACGATGACGGAAAAGCTGAGTGAGACAACCATCGCAGTTACACAACAAGGCTACCTTAACGAAGGGTACCAGGGATTCGTAACATGGGAAACAATATATCGTAGGTCAGGGGGCCATTCAAGAGTGCATGGAAGTCTTGTAAAAAAAAGCCACAATACTGTAATGTTCCCAGTACATTTGAATGTTGACTGATAGTTCTTGAGTGGCTCGTCGGGGTTATTTGTATGTACATACAATGCACGTATTACAAGTCCTTCTCAAGGTCATCGCAATGATGTAATCCCTCACCTCCCTGGCTTTATTTCCATTGGCGGAGATACCGTTGTTCGCCTGGCTTCCCATAAACTCCTTTTCCGGCCGTGCTTTGCTTGGTGTAAAATTTTGGACCAAGCCTCGAATGTACATTCATGGCTCTTTCACGCAGCTCGATCCCATGAAAACTCTCTGATGCCAGTTTGGGTTGATGACATCCTGGCACTTCTGAACACTTTCCAAAAACATGGTAAAGCTCAAGGCTTTATTTCGCGGAAGTAGCTTGGATTTCAATATCGCATGATAAAGCTGTTCAGCATGGGTCTCTTCAAGGGAATTCATACCCGTGACATCAACCATGAAACCACATATGCTCTGATTCTTAAAAGCCGAGTACTTGTTGTTGAACCGATCCCAGAAAGCACTTTTTTTGCCTCCTGACTCTTCGAATAAGCCATGCGCAAGTGCTATTATGTGGCCAGCTTGCGCGTGATCGACTGATTCCGGATCCGGCCCGTCATCTTTCTCGAAGAATGTTCGCAGCATGGATATCTCGTCTCGTGCCAATAGCTCTCTGGCTTCTTCTGCATTATAATCAGGATAGAGACTTAGAGCCAAGATCTGAAGATATAAGCAAAACCTAGATACAGTCGACCTATCGGCTTCCTGAAAGGATACGGATGTGAGTTGCTCTGAAGGTTCGATACCATACTGCACAGTACTCCAGCATTGCCTGGAAGTGTACATACCTTCAAATTCTCCCTGAGCGCGACCCATTGAGCCATCATCCTATCGGCGTGTTCTTTTAGTGTTTGTTTCTCAAT